GCAGGAAGTTCAAGGGCAGCCTGGTCTACACAGTGATTTCCAGACCGGCAAGAATTTGGTTGAGACCCTATCTCAACCCCTCACTCTCCAAAAAAGTTTGATTTGATTTGTTTTGTTTGTTCGTTTGGACAGGGTCTGGTGTAGCTCAGGCTGTAGTTGAACTCCCTATGTGGCCAGAGAGGATTTTAAACTCCTGATTCTCCAGCCACTACCTCCCAAGTCTCCAATGCCAAGGATGGCATTCACTCATTACCATACGCAGCGTAGGGATCTTTTTTTTATTAGACCACACCTGTTTCTCTAGACCTTTGCTTTAAGAAACTGGCCATCTTTTTATTCATTTATTTATAGTTACTTATTTCTAAGGTTGGGAAAAGAACCCAGGGCCTTGTACATGTTATGCAAAAGCTCTCTACCACTGAGATATTCCCCAAGCCCGGAATCTGGAAATAAATTTATTCAAGTACCTTTTTTCTTGTTTTGTTTTGTTTTGGAGATAGGGTCTCTCCGTGTAGACAAGGCTGCCATTAAACTCACAGATACTCACCTGCCTCTGTCTCCCAAGTACTGGGATCAGAAGTGTCCACCACTACATTTGGTACAAGTACATTTTTTAAGAAGACAAAATTTTGCTTCAAAAATCTTTTTTTTTAATCTGTTTTTTGTTTGTTTGGTATTAGGAACTGAACTCAGAGCCTTGTGCATACTAGGTATTTTCACTTACTGAACTGCATCCCAGCCCTGAAGTCCAATTATTTTATTTTATTTTCTGAGATAGAGTATCAATATGTAGCTCAACGTGACCTCAAATTAGAGATCCTTCTGCCTTAGTCTCACTCTATAGCCCAGGCTGGCCTCAAACTTGAAATGATCTTCCTTTTTTTTAGTCTTTTGAGTTCTGGGATTAGAGGTCAGAGGTGGCCTCCAGCTCTGGGTTGAAGTGTTTTGTTTTGTTTATTTTTTCTGTTGCAGATAGAAGAGGTTAGATATAACTAATTTCTTTCTTTCTTCCTTTTTTATTCATCTATTTTACATTCTACTGGCAGCATCAACCCCCCCCATCCTCCTCTCCCAGACCCTCCCCTCACTCCCCCTCCCTATCCCCTCCTCTTCTGTCTCCATCCAGGAAAGGGCAGGTCTCCCATGAGTATCAATAAAACATGGCATATCAAGTTGCAGTATGACTAAGGACTTTCCCTTGTGTTAAGGCTGGGCAAAGCGACCCAGTATGAGGAGTAGGGCCCCAAAAGCCAGTAAAAGTCAGAGACAGCCCCTGTTCCCATTGTTAGGAATCCCATAAGAGGACCAAACTACACAACTGTAACATATATACACAAAGTGCCTAGGTCAGTCCCATGCAGGCTCTCTGGTTGTTGGTTCAGTCTCTGTGAGCCCCTATGAGCCCAGGTTAGTTGACTGTGTGAGCCTTCCTGGGATGTCCTTGACCCCTCTGGCTCACACACTCCTTTCTCCTCCTCCTCTGCAGGATTCCAGAACTCCGCCTAATGTTTGGCTGTGGGTCTCTGCATCTGCCTCCATCAGTTGCTGTGAAGTTTGTATTTTTATGAGACTAATTCATTACCTTTTGCATCCATGAGGCACCTACTAAGTCTGTAGTGTGGAAGAGTGAACAGTCCTCTGTCTTTTCATTATAATATATCAAAACAATGATGGCCACTGGGCAGTGGTAGTGCACGCCTTTAATCCTAGTACTTGGGAGGCAGAGCCAGGTGGATCTCTGTGAGTTCGAGGCCAGCCTGGGCTACAGAGCAAGTTCCAGGACAGCCAGGGCTACACAGCAAAACCCTGTCTTTATAAACAAAACAAACAAAATTGTTTTGGAATATTTGTTTACACTATAAAGATGTGTCTCTGCATAAATGCCTTCTGATTGGTTTAATAAAGAGCTAAATGGCCAATAGCTGGGCAGAGGAGAGTAAGCAGGACTTCAGAGAGAGAAATTGGAAGGAAAAATCTAGGCGGAGGATTTTGCCAGCAGACTTGGAGCAAGTTGGATGTGATATACTAAGAGGTAACCGAGTCACGTGGCAGAATGTACATTAAAAAATATGGGCTAATTAAGTTATAAGAGCTGGTTGGGAAAAAGCCTAAGCTAAGGCCAAGTTTTCATAATTAATAATAAGTCTCTAGGTCATTATTTTTCAGCTGACAGTCCAAAGATAGCTTGCTACATGAAACAAACAAATAAACAGTAAATATGTCCCAGAGTCTCAGGCATTTGGACTTGGTCTCCACTGATGACGGTTTGGGGAGGTTTAGTTGGTATGGCTTTGTTGAAGGAAGAGCATCACCGGATGGGCTTTGAAAGCTTAAAGACTCAGACCATTCAGAGTTTGTTCTCTCTGTTTGCTTTGGTTCAGGATGTGAGCCGTCAGCTGCTCCGTCTGGGCTGCCTGCTGCCTGAGCTCTGACATCATGGACTCTCACCCTAAGCAACCATAAGCTCCACCAAACCCTTCCTTCTGTAAACTGCCTTTTCAGGGTGTTTTTATCACAGCAATAGAAAAATAACTCTTATTAACTACTATAAATAATTTTATCTTTTTTTCCCCCAGTGCTACAGATTGAACTCAGGGCCCACTACATGTTAGGCAAGTGGTTTTACCAGTGAGCCACATCTCCAGTCCTAATTTGATTGGCTGACTGATAATTAAGGTGCTGGATGTTGAACACAGGGCCTTATGTGTGCTAGACAAGTGTTCTGGCACTTAGCCACAGTGTGATGTTCACTGTTCTTTGGATGGTGACATTAAATGCTTAGATGGTGTCATATTAGCACTACAAACAATTGCTGTGAGTTTGGTTTATTTTTTTATTTTTTATTTTTTTGGTTTTTCCAGACAGGGTTTCTCTGTGTAGCTTTGCGCCTTTCCTGGATCTCACTCTGTAGACCAGGCTGGCCTCGAACTCACAGAGATCTGCCTTTCTCTGCCTCCCGGGTACTGGGATTAAAGGCGTGCACCACCACCGCCCAGCATGAGTTTGGTTTTTTGAGACAGGGTTTCACTGTGTATCCCTGGCTGTCCTGGAACTTACTCTGTAGCCCAGGCTGGCCTCAAAACTCACAGAGATCTGTCTATCTCTGCTTCCTGAGTGCTGGAATTAAAGGCGTGTGCCACCACCACCTGACTGTGAGTTTTAAAAGAAGTGACTGCAGTGGTCAGGGTGGGGAGGGAGAGAAGACTGGCGGCCTCCAATTAGTCTGAGAGAAACACAAGGAACTCGTGACCGGCTGCTTGCCAGCTTAACTCCCATTCATAAGAATGATCTCAGGGACTACGATGACCCATGAAAGTGTGACCTTCTCTTGATGAGTGGGTGTCTTTTTTGGCCCTTATTTTGGCCTAGAACTCCTGCTCTTCCCATTTTAGCTTCCATGACTGCTGGGATCACAAGCATGTGCCACCATGCCCCAATCATGTGGCTCCTTAGTAAAGTGGTATCACTGAACACAGAATCAAATGCCGCCTGGGCAAGGAAAGGTAATGCCAGTGCTGTATGGGGCTGCACAGCTTGCTAAGTTCCTGGGGACGGCCAACTTTGTATTCAGACACTCAAGACTCTTGCTCCCAGGCATCTGTTGTACACTGTTGAGGCCTGTTGCTGGAACCTATCGGCTCCCTCAGGGGAGGGCATGAGAAGGTTGGATGTCAATGGCACAGACACCGGGAGTCAGTTGAAGGCAAACAACAAACAACAAATTCCTTTATTCAATAACGGGGAAGGCCTTATATACCCTCCTGTCAGCACCCAAGCTGCGTCCCAATCTGGTAGCATTGCCTGGTCATCCCTCATTGGCTGGGCACAATCAGGAACTCTGACAGCAACTAGGAACTCTGACAGCAATCAGGACCTCTGACAGCGCCTGTTGCTAAGCCCTCAGGCAGACTCCAGGTTGGCTCATAAGGGAGTATGTTGTGTGCATGCCTTGGCAACTGGTTTGAGCCAATTTCCTCGACCCTATGGGCCTGTCCTACTACAGAGGTCTGTAATCTCAGCTACGAAGGAGGCTGAGGCAGAGAGATTCCTTGAGTCTGAGGGGTTTGAATCCCATCTTAAAAATGAAACAAAGCCAGGACTACGGTGTAAGACCATGTTTAACAGGGCTGGAGAGATGCTTCGGTGGTTAAGAGCACTGGCTGTTCTTCTAGAGGACCCGGTTCAATTTCCAATACCCATGTGGAGGCTTACAACCATCTGTAACTCCAGCTCCAGTCTCAGGGGATCCGATGGCCTTCTGTGGCCTCCACAGGCACCAGGTCCAGACATGGTACACAGACATACATGAAGACAAAGCATAAAATTAAATAGAGCTGGGCATGGTGGGGAAACTGAGGCAGGTAGATCCTTTTGAGATAGAGTCACCCCTAAGCCAGAGTGAGTTTCATGCCCACCTGAGCTACAGTTAGATCCTGTAAAAAAAAAAAAAAAAACAAATAAATGACAATAAACAAATAGAAACAATAACCACCAAAATAAAATAGAAAACAAAGTAAGCCAGGTACAGTGGTACTTCAGAGGCTGAGGCAGGAGGATGACAATTTCAAGCACAATCTTATGTACAGATTGAGTTCAAGGACAGCTTGGGCACTTTAGTGAGTCTTCGTCTTAAAGAGAGAGCAGAGGGCTGGGGATGCAGCTCAGTAGTTGTGCGATGTTTAGCACATGGAAGGGCTTAGTTCACTCAGTCCCCAATACTGGAAATAGCATCAAAACCCCAAATGCAAAACTGTCGAGAGCTGGGGAGCTGGCTCACCAGGTGAGGTGCTCGCTGTGAAGCCCCAAGAACTGAGTTCTGTTCCCGGACTTAAAGTGTGGAAGGAAAGAGCTGTCTCCAAACCCAGTCCACATACACAGATGTATAATAAAAGAAACAAATGTAAAAAAAAAAATTAAAGTGTTAGTTATTCTACGTGTGTGTGTGTGTGTGTGTGTGTGTGTGTGTGTGTGTGTGTGTGACCCTGTAAGTTTATAGGTTTTATGTGTGATCATGCACAAAGCTGCTGGAGGACAGAGAAGGATGTCAAGTCCCCTGGAACTAGACTTACAGGTGGTTTTGTGAGCTACCATATGGTTCCTGGGAACTGAACTCAGCTCCAATGTAAAACAAAAACAAAAACAAACAAACAAAAAAGCAGAGGAACAAAACAAAACAAAACAAAAAATCCCTCAAATCACCACTTCCGTAATACAAACACAAAAACACAAACAAAAGCCCACAAAACAAAACAAGCTGCTTCCAAGGGTCTTTGACAAAGGTTTATAAGTGAGGGAGGCTGGACAGCTTGGCTGCTTGCCTAGAAGCCTGGCTGTGCTGAGATGTGTCTGTTTCTAGTAGCTCAGCACCTCAAATGAAAAGAAAACAGAGCTGGAAAAGAGGAAGTACCCATCCGATGAAAAGTAAGTTTGGGTTTCTCCAAGTGAGCCAGTGCGTTAGTGGCTGCCTTTGCTGGCATCTGGATTTCAAGCACTCAGGGAACCGACCGGTACGTGGGCTGATACCGTAGTCAGCAACTGGCAGCTTCGAAAGGTTCCTTGAATTGGGGACCTTCTTTCTCTCCTGCGGGAAGAGAAGTCAGCCAGCTTTGTTATCTGTCCCACTCTGTAGCCAGCCTCCAGGAGATCTACAGACTCCCCCTCTGCTTCCTGCCTTTGCTTTATTTAAGGAAACTTTTATTCACTCATATCAGGGGTTGGCTGGAGAGATGACGGCTCATCAGTTACAAATAGGGACTGCTCATGCCGAGGACAGACGTTGATTCTTAGCACTTTCATCCAATGGCTCACAACGATCTGTAACTCCGGCTCCGCGAAGTCCAATGCCCTCTTCTGGCCTTTGAGAGCATTTCCATGTAAGTGTAGACATTCACATATAGATACACACACACACACACCAGTGACAGGATATAACCCAAAGCATCTTTTGTTTCCTTTCCTGATATCTAGATAGATATGTCTGTCTGTCTGTCTGTCTACCTACCTACCTATTTATCTATCTATCTGTTTGAGAGAAGGTCTCTCTCTACATAGCCCTGGCTGTCCTGGAACTCACTATGTAGATGAGGCTAACTGTGAACTCACAGAGATCAGCCCACTTCTGCCTCATGAGTGCTGTGATTAAAGGTATATGCTTCTGTGCCTACATCCTTCCTCATTTTTTTTTTTCCGAGACAGGGTTTCTCTGTGTAGCTTTGTGTTTTTCCTGGAACTCACTCTGTAGCCCAGGCTGTCCTCGAATTCACGGAGATCCTCCCAAGTGCTGGGATTAAAGGCGTGGGCCGCCGCCACCACCGGGATTATTCTTCCTCATTTTATTCTCTCTGTTCTGTCTACCTTTTACATATTCATACTTTTGTTTGTTTGTTTTTCCAAGATAGTGCTTCTCTGTGTAGCCTGGGCCATCCTGAAACTAGCTCTGTAGACCAGGCTGACCTTGAACTCACAAGAGATCTGCCTGCTTCTGTCTCTGGAGTGTTGGGATTAAAGGCGTGCACCACCACCGCCTGGCTACATATTCATACTTTATATTTTAAGATCCACTTAAAGCTGGGCCATGGTCTTTAATCCCAGCACTCGGCACTTGGGACGCAGAGGCAGCCTGGTCTACAGAGTAAGTTCCAGGACAGCCAAGGCTACTCAGAGAAACCTTGTCTCGAGGGAAAAACCAACAGCAAAAAAACAACAACAAAAAGAGGAGTAGGGCTCCGATGGGTCGTAGCCGTAGCCGCTCCGCGCGGAGGGAACGTAGGCGGAGGCGGTCCAGGTCCACATCACGGGATGGAGAAAGAAGGCGCCAAGGAAGGTCCGGGTCTCGGGAGAGGGATCACAGAAGGAGCCGCTCAAGATCCCCACACCAAAGACGCTCCAGGTCTCCAAGGCGACATAGATCCACATCTCCTTCCCCTTCTCGACTGAAGGAAAGAAGAGATGTGGAGAAGAAAGAAACTACAAAAGTAAAGAGCGAAGAACGTCCAATCACTGAGGAGAATCTGGAGGGTAAGACAGAGAAAGAAATAGAAATGATGAAATTAATGGGGTTTGCTTCTTTTGACTCCACAAAAGGGAAGAAGGTAGATGGCTCTGTAAATGCCTATGCCATAAACGTGTCTCAGAAGAGGAAATACAGGCAGTACATGAATCGGAAAGGCGGATTCAACAGACCTCTGGATTTTATTGCATGAGACTTGAGGTGTTGGAGAATTCCCCCCTCATCTGGGTCAGAGAGTATTTTATATTTTGTATTTAGTACACCTCCAAACAGGATCTTGGTTCTTCTGTGAAGGCCTAGACTTAACTTTACAGGCTCCATCTTAGGGAAAGGGCCACCATCTCAGACCACCTGCTGTACTCAGTTCCAGAAAGGACCTCAGGATTGTGCCATGGCAACCGGAACAGATACAGAGCAGTATCCTCCTGCAGACATCCTGTCTGTAGTTTAGGCCCTTGAAGATATCTAGATAATCTTGCTGAGCAGTTCAGATAATCCTGTTCAGCAGGTTGTGGTTCCCCGCCAAAAGTCTAACCCAATGGTTTCAAATGTGGTTTTGCACCCAAAGTCTAGACCAATAGTTTCAAAACATCACCTTGCGCCATATCCCTTCTACCCAATCCCAAGTTGCCAATTTCTGGCTTGTGGTTTTTCCCTATAAAAACCCTCTAGACCTGGGCTCATGACCACCTCCATTTTCTTCCATCTGCCATGTGGTGGCCCAGGTTGAACCTGACAATAAAAGGACCCATATGTGCTTGCATCGGAAACCAGCTCCTTGGTGGTCTCTGGGGGTTTTGAGATACGGGTACAACACTTCCTTCCTATAAAGTAAGGAAGTCTTATTTATGACACCCAGTGTATTTACTTTCCTCAGGAGGTAGGTAGCACTTTTTAGGTGGTGTCCCTGCGGTGGCTACAGCCCGTTTGTCTTGTTCCTTTGAACCTGTATGTGCTTTCTTTCTGGATGCTTGTTAGGAGGGTTTTTGTTTTGTTTTGTTTTAATATTTTTTAAAACTTTATATGCATGGGTGTGAAGGTGTCAAATCCCCTGGAACTAGAATTACAGACAGTTGTGAGCTGCCATGTGGGTGCTGGGAATTGAACCCCGGGTCCTCTGGAAAAGCAGCCAGTGCTCTTAACCGCTGGGCCATCTCTCCAGGCCCTTGTTAGGAGTTCTTAAAAACTGAAAGTAACTTAGATATGAATTTCTCCAATAAAACTGTATTTCTACCCATTTAAAAAGCAAAGCAAAATAAAACAACAAAAACAAAACAAAACAAAACAAAACAAACAAACAAACAAAAAAACACCCTATATCGTTCCTAGATCTCAACAGCTTCTTTGAAACTTTGCCTTGGCCATACTGTCTGAACTTAACTATAGAATGCCTTTTCACTTTTTTAAAAAATTAATTCGTCAGACAGTGGAGGCACACACCTTTAATCCTAGCACTCGGGAGGCAGAGGCAGGCAGATCTCTGAGTTCGAGGCCAGCCTGGTCTCCAAAGCGAGTTCCAGGAAAGGCGCAAAGCTAGACAGAGAAACCCTGTCTTGAAAATAAATAAATAAATAAAAATTAATTCATTATTATAATGTATAGATGGGGGGGGGAGAGAAGAGAGAGACCCCTATGTAGGCCAGAAAGCCTTAAGTCCTCATCATCCAGTACCCCTTCCTCATCCAGTACCTCGGTCTGCTGAGTCATCTCACTGGCCCACCACTTCCAGTTCAGGTAGTGCCTGGAATCAAACACCGGGCTTCAAAGATGCTAGACCAGCACTCTAGCAACTGACCGACAGCCCTGTAGATAGAAGTTTTCCTGTGTCCCACAGCCACTGGGTCCCAAATAAACACACAGAGGCTTATATTAATTACAAGCAGTTTGGTCTATGGCCAGGAGTTACTGGCCATACTAACTAGTACTAATTGGCTAGTACTAACTAGCATACTGATCTTAAGTTAACCCATTTCTACTAATCTATGTATTGCCACGTGTCTCCTGGCTTTACCTGAGTTCCATTGTATCTTGCTTCTCAGGCAGTGGCTCACAACTTCCCCTCTGACCCGCTTCTCTTCTCCCTGTCTCTCTCTTGGATTTCCCTCCTGGCGCTATATCCTGTCTTGCCATGGGCCAGAGCAGCTTCTTTAGTTTATTTATTTATTTATTTTGGTTTTTCGAGACAGGCTTTCTCTGTGTAGCTTTGGAACCTGTCCTGGATCTCGCTCTGTAGACCAGGCTGGCCTCGAACTCACAGAGATCCGCCTGCCTCTGCTTCCCGAGTGCTGGGATTGAAGGCAGGCACTACCACACCTATCCAGCCTAGGCTAATTTTTTTTGTAAGAAATAAATCATACATATACTAATTACTTCTACTGAATTAACTTAAAAACCTTAACAAGAAAAAGCTACATTGTCCTGTTCAGCCTCAGAAGCCCAGGCGCATGGTTCCACTGGGCTCAGTGGTTGGTGTGTACTCTCGCCTAGATGTCCAAGGCCCTCCATCAGATCCCTTGCATTGAAAAAAAAAAAAAAGTGCTTTAAAACTGGTGTGGCTATCCCTTCAAACTTCCTCCTACACCTCTCTGATTACAAACATTGCTGGTCAACCTTTGACATGGACTTGATTAAATCTATCTTATGGAAATGACCTACGGGGCATTGCGGTGACTGTTGGGCATAGTGACAGTTAGTGCTGCTCTTTCCCCACCTGGGCCGCAGGACCGTGGCCTTTGTCTTTCCTACTGGAGTGACTTTTCTGATTCTTTGTTAGTCTTCCCCATTCCCTCCCCCACTGTTTTTTTCAGAGTTGATTAAGTTGCCCAGGCTGACCTGGAACTCACAATTGCCCCGCCTCAGCACCCGAGTGATGGAATTACAGGTACCACCACACCCAGCTAATAATTCATTACCTTTTAAAGTAGTTTTTTTTGCCCCCTCCCAGTTTTTTTTTTTTAAAGTATTTCATTTTAAGTGATGTGTGGGCGTGGGGGTGGAGGGGCAGGCCCCTGTGAGGCAGGTGCCTGAAGGGACCAGAACAGGACACAGGACCACTTGGGGAAGTTGAAGATCCCAGAGCTCAAACTCTGCTCGGCAGCACTGTGACCACAAAGCCTTCTCACTTGCCCTTACCCAGTATTTACCTTTGGACCCTTCCAGGTGTAAGAACATTCCAACATCAGCTCCCAAGAGTTGTCCTCTGACCTCCACATGCTCACTGTGGTGTGCACCCATGCCCCTTGCCCCACATAGATGTAATAATAATAATAATAATAAAATGACATTCCAACAGTCTCTCTTTCTGTGGCCGTCATAATCGGCATCATTGCCACCATCATAACTGGCTTGTTAGGAGTCTGTGCGGTGTCTGGGGGTGGGCTTCTCACGAGGAGCAGGTTTCCCTTTGCTTCTTACAGCAGGGAGGTAGGCAATACCATCTGCATCCAGTCTACACACCTTAGGAAGGAAGGTTAGGGAACGGCCATTTCCCTAGCCACCAGGTACCACTTCTCAGAATGGAAAGCAGCCTGATTGAATCTTCCGGTTTATCTGTTCTCACCTTCTTCCTTTATTTTTCCTGAGCCCACTTAAATGTGCTAGATTTTTGTTGTTGTTTGCTGTTTGGGGATGAACCTCAGGAATGCTAGGTGAATGTTTATTATTGAACTACATACTCAACCGTGAGTCTGGCTTCACTATACAGCTCAGTTTGGCAATCCTCCTGTCTCGGCCTCTCAAGTGCTAGGATTACAGTTATGAGCCATTCTACCTGGTTCATAAATTGATTTTAATCGTGATCTTTACGTTGGGTCCAATGCTTTCTTGTCCATCAGTAACTGTTGAGCAAAAGGTGGACACGGTGCAGGCGGCATGCTTGTGACGTAGGTAACTGGGAAGGCAGGAGCAAAAGAATTGCTGGAGACCTGCCTGGGCTATGGAGTATATAGTGATTATATTAAGAAATACAAAAGGAGCTGGGCATGGTGGTGCACGCCTTTAATCCCAGCCCTCGGGAGGCAGAAGCAGGCAGATCTGAGTTCAAGTCCAGCCTGGTATACAAGGAGAGTTCCAGGATAGGCACAAAAACTACACAGAGAAACCCTGTCTAGTAAAACCAAAAAACTGCCGGGCGGTGGTGGTGCACGCCTTTAATCCCAGCACTCGGGAGGCAGAGCCAGGCGGGTCTCTGTGAGTTCGAGGCCAGCCTGGTCTACTGAGTGAGATCCAGGAAATGCACAAAACTACACAGAGAAACCTTGTCTCGGAAAAACCAAAAAAAAAAAAAACCAAAAAAAAAAGAAAAAAAAAAAACAAAAAATAAACACACAAAAAGATCTTGTGTATCTCTGGCTGACCTGGAACTTTTGATCCTCCTTTGTGCTGGGATCACACTCCCTGGTGCTGTTCATGTAGTGATGGGAATCAAACCCAGGGTTTCAGGTATGTCAGACAAGCAAGCACCCCACCAGATGAGCTGCATCCCCAGCCGAGAGAGATTTTTTTTTTTTTTTTTTTTTTTTTTTTTTTGGTTTTTCGAGACAGGGTTTCTCTGTATAGCTTTGCGCCTGTCCTGGAACTCACTTGGTAGCCCAGACTGGCCTCGAACTCACAGAGATCCGCCTGGCTCTGCCTTCCGAGTGCTGGGATTAAAGGCGTGTGCCACCACCGCCCGGCGAGATTTTTTTTTTAATAACCCCACATGACTGTCAGATGGGTGGAGGGGGGCAGTGAATGAATGCTTGGATTTGGTTCAGCAAAAATGTGGAAGTACATCTGCCTCCCTAGTTCGGAAGGCCAGGCTTTGAATAAAAGGAGAGCTTGGAGTATAGCTTGGTGGCAGGGCGCACATGTAAGAACCCAGGTTTATTTCCCAATCTCATACACCTTTAGAAGAGGACGGGGCACTTCCAGGACAGGGAGATTGGAGTCTTTAGGCACAAAGTCTGGAATATTTCATGTGCTAGAAGAGTGAAAACAGGCGGGAACAGTCCTGTTTGGGCAGAGCTGAGGGTCTGATAAAGGACTGGAGTCGCGCTGGTGTTTTTAAAATATCTGTTTATTTAGACAGGGTTTCTCTAGACAAGGCTAGCCTGGTCCAGAATGCTGGGATTGAAGGTGTGTGCAGCACTCCAGGCACTCCAGTCCTTTTCCCCCAGTGTCCTGTTCAATGGCCGGGTCACAGGAGTTTTAAGACTGACCTAAGGGAAAGCTCTGAACACTCAGGGAGCAGAATTTGGGTCATTTCATCGGCTCCCTTGGCTGTCGTATGACCCCGTGTCATGCTACTTACGTTTCATTTTCCTATCTGCAAAAAAGGAAGTAATTCTTGTTTCCCCTGGGTTTTCTCCTTTCGTCATCAAAAATGAATGAGTTAGGCCAGCCACAGAACACAAACAAAAGGGAAATATGTAATGTTTTGTAAGAGGCATCCATAAAAGTTATGGAGTCCCTGGGCATCTTTATAAGCACCAGGAAAAACTTGTAAAGGAAACATTTAAATGCGTTAATAACTGCGTCTCTTAACAGGCCCGTTCCTCCCTTAAGCCCCTCGGACTTAAAAAACAAAAATAACGAAAATGGGATGCGGTTCGCTTTCCATTACTCTGGCCACTGATGGATTACACACTCATTCACCCTCACCCGCCCTCATCAACTCTCGGTGAAGTTTCAAAGGACAAAAGAAGAAAGCGGAATCGGCTGGCTTTCCGTGGTATTTCCACGTGTACGTGGGGACTTTCCTTTGAGACAAGGCTGAGGTCGGGGCCAATAATAGCTGGTATCGCCTGACTGCTAATACCAAGCTGATGAGGAGGTGACTACCCCAGCAACCTCTGATTAAACACAGCGGCACTCTCCCACCCTCGCCCGCGATCGGGAATTTTCCTCCTTCCTCCCGCCCTCTCAGAAGGGGCTGAGGCAGCATCTGGCACCAGCCAGCTAACATTTGTGTCGTGATTTCCTCTCTCAGGCACACTTGGACACGGATCATTTCTGAGGGGATCAGGACCCACGGATGCCCTTTTAAGTTTTCTTTCTTTTTTTTGCATTTCTAAATCGAGGCTCTTCATCACCGGCTCCTCGCCGCCCAGGTCTCCTGGGTCTCGGTGAGAATCGGGGCTCGCCCCCACTCTGCTCGCAGGCCTGTGCCTGACGCCTTCACTCCCTCGGTGTGCAAACGCCGGTGACTCACGTCTTGCACAGCCTTCGCCCCCCCGAAACACAACCACCACCACCACCACCCCCAGGATCTTAGCCCACAGCGCATCGTCACCCCGCCCCGGCAGCCTTGGAGGTCTCGGGGCTGAGTCACACAAGAGGACCACCCTGGTCGGCATCCACACACACACACGCACACGCACACGCACACACACGCACACGCGGTCCCTGCTCGCCGGCCACACCAACGCCCTTCCTAGGGCTCACAACTCGCTACGCTCCAGCTCCAGCCCTCGGACCCCCCACCCCCACCCCGGCCCCCATCCCCAACCCACCCCCAAATCTCCGGGAAACCCAGCGCCGGCGGAGCCGGCCTCGGGCGGCCTTTGAAGGCTTTGTTATTGTTTGGGTTTGAAT